CCCCTTCCCTCCTGGTTTCGCCACTGTCACCCCTGGTCCTGAGAGGTTCATCTGTCCTAGATTCCCTGCGTTTCCAATTCCCATCTGTACCGCTGTACATCATAGAGTTATTTTAAATTCATTGCAATACCCATTCATACATACGTGCATGTAAACTTACCTCAAGCAAAAATTTTATGAAAGAGTACTTAACTTTATTATTATTATTTTTTGTCTTCCATTTCATTTTTTTAAGAGTACTTAACTTTAATATTGAATACACGCATTATACTCTGATATTTTCCCCCTTTCCTTAAAATACACAACAAAAAGTGACCGTCAGGAAGCATTTATTTGATTTTGTAATGCTTCATTAACTGAAGTTTGATAAACTCTGTTCTGTAATGTGACATACATTTTTAGTTTCACTAAACATGAGAACAATTGTGAGGATGGGGTAGGACTGGGCAGTGTTTTGTTCTGTTGTGCACAGAATCACTATGAGTTAGAACCAACTTGATGGCACCTAACAACAGAAACTGTCAAGTTGCTTTTCAGAATGCTTATTTACAATCTCACCACTAGTATGAGAAACTTCCTGTGTCTCCATATCCTTAGCAGCCCTCACCTTTGACAGGCTTTTTAGTATTGTCAGTTTGTTGATTATGAAATTTTATTGTTTTATTTTGTCTTGCTCTTATTGCATCTTTTTAGACATGTGTTCTATAAATTGCCCATGGCTTTTTTTTGGGGGGGGGGATTATTTGTCTTTCCTTACTGATTTATAGATGTTCTTAGTGATATTAAGGATTTCAATGCTTTGTTAGTTTGTGTTGTAAAAATCTTCTACCAGTCTGTGGCTAGTCTTTTCATTTGTTTATGCTATCTTTCAATGTACATCTATCTTAAGTTTTAGATTTTAAAACATTCTCAAATTTTATGGGTTTATCTTTTTGTGACTTGAATATGGAGTTCTTCCTATCAGTTAGTTAAAAATTATCCTTTTTATGTTCTCCTAAAAGGTTTAATTTGCTTTTCACATTTGAATCTTTATTTTTCCCCATAGTCATGTGTCTGCTCCTTCCCCAAATTTGATCTGCAGTGCCACTTCTGTGTATCAAGTCCCGTATTTACATGTGTCTATTCCCTTGGTGCTGTGGGTTAAATGTTGACCTGTTAACCACAAGATTGGAGGTTCAAACACACTAAATGCGCTGAAGGAGAAAGTATCAGCTTCCATAAATATTTACAGTCTCAGAAACCTAATTTAGGGACGCTATCAGTTGGAATTGATTCAAGGCAGTATGTTTTGAGCCTGTGGTAATAACACATTATTTAATCAATATTGCTTTAAGATAAATTTTGAGTTCTAGTAAGACAGGTTTGGCCTCTATATTTTGCTTGATCTGTGACTATTTTTAGACTTAGTCTTTCTTTCTTTTAAAAACATTAATCATTTTATTGGGGGGCCTCTTGCTCTTACAAATCTTAGAGCAATCCATCATTCAGTAGTATTAAGCACACTTGTACATATGTTGCCACCAACTTTTCCAAAACAATTTCTACTTGAGCCCTTGGTATCAGCTTCTCTACCCCCCCCCCCTTCCCTCC